TTCCTCTTGAATACGTTGATCTTTTTATCCTTCAAACACCACTTCTGGCAGTGAGTTCCCCATTCTCACCATCCAAATTCCTCCTAAAGTTCCTTTTACATCTGCTAATGGCTCTCTTATACTTATATCCCCTCGTTTTGGACTCACCAACAAGTAGAACAAACCTATTGACCTCCACCTTACAGAACATTACAGCATGGAAACAAGCCATTCAGCCCAATTACTCTGTTGATTATTTTGAACACCTCTATCAAGATGAGTTGGACTAAGAGACAGAAAGGTGAGCTTGGAATTTAACATAGTGTGGATGCAGGGAGAGCACCCGGGGGCAACAAAGTTGAAGCTTGGTTGTCAACAGAAGTGGAGCAGCAGTGATCACAGCTTATAGAGAAATGGCCAATTTCAGTTTATCACATTTCAATCTGATCACCATCACACATGAAGAGAGCAGCAGATTGTTCATAAATTAATTATAATCCTTGCATCAGTCGTTCACTTCAAGAGTACGTTGCAAAGCGCCTAAGAGGATACCCAGCAAAGTGGAGTGACTGCAAATCTTGTGGGAGGATGTGGCAGCCAATTTGGCCTGGCAATGACCCACAATCAGCCATGGAGTGAAGGAGCATTTTTATTTGGGGGATTATTGATCAAGACACCAGAAGAAACTTCCTTCTCCAGATGCTAGCAAACAGAAATAAGGGGCACTCTCCTCCCCACCAAAAAAAAATTCTCTAAAGGTATAATGCAATTTAAATTTATGTAGAACCTTTCACGTCAGGAGGACATCTCAAGCACTCAGGGATAGCTCCCTTGGCTGCAGGAACACAAGACTGCAGCCCTCCAAGAGTTAAACCCAGTTTTCTTACACGCTGGCCAACGGCAGTGGGGATTTATTTCTCTATTTGTACAAACATAACATTCTTCCTGCAGCATCCCCAAATACTGGGCTTTGGCAGACTGATTTCATAACTATAAAAGGACACTCAACAAACCCAGTTTGCTGATTCAGATCTCGGATTTCACAGCCACAAAATGTTCGATGTTAAAAAGGTAACAAAACTGACGAGGTGCTCAAAACAAAAAAGATGTGCTCAAAGCAGTCACCTTCCTCACCTCACCCTGATTCTTCAACCTTTCGTTTCCATTAGGCCAGAAGGTATCTGGGTAGAGATCACGTTCAATTGGTTTCCAAAACCCCACCCTCCTCTCGGGAGAAAAACATGGCTCGATTGCTGTATATATGCATGTTAAGTGATTTACCCTATAAATAAAAGGCAGCCCACAAACATTGGTTTTCAGCACAATGCTGGAGAAAAAATATGTTTTCAGAAATCTTTCTCCCACCCCCCTCACCCCATAAAACCAGAAGCATTACAGAGACCAGTGTATGTTGTATGGGTCTTCACCTAGAGAGTTAACAGAGTATTACTCAGGGCTAACTTTCTTGTATGTGGGAGGAATTAAAAAAAATAAAAGGAAAAAAAAGTTAGCACCGAATGTCTTGTAATTTTTTTTAACATAAAAAATGCAAATCATTTAAAAATTGCAGGATCATTTCTAACAATGAATGTCCTCCTTTTTGACGGAACGGTCCCAGGTTTCAAAAGTAAAATTGCTGGCAGGAAAATCAACTGGGAACAGCAGTCTACCTCACAGTTCCTTATGCACATCATTGTCAGAGAGGAACTGCGCAGATTTTACTCTTTTTGCTGAAGGTATGCAGATATTCTTGCAACCCATGCATGAAATTTCTATAATAACTTGGGTTATATGTTGTTGATCTCTTCACACAGAAAGGTAACACCGGGCCTGCAGGTACCTAGACATGTCCAAAACTGAATTTCCATTCAGACACCATTGACCTTGAATTCCCACCAAATGCCAGCACCCTCCCACTATAATCCAGCTTCACATAAGTCGGATGTGAATTTGCTGTCCAAATGAAGTTAGGGAGACTACGCCTGACACTTGAATACTCTCTAGTTCCAATTGTTTGCACATTGTGAATCAACTGCAACTCTTAAGTGTTCTTAGTGAAAAGGCCAGGTAACATTACACTGCCCGAGAACGACATACATATCTTTACATGACGACCAGAAGCTGTGGTTGAAGCAAAAAGAATCAATGCATTTAAGTGAAGATTTGATGTTTGCATAAGGGATATGGGATGAGAGTGGAATAGGTGGCTCGTGTATGAACATTGGGCATGTCTAGATGAGCTAGAAGGCCTGTTTCCGTGACATAGCACTCTATGTAACTCTATATGTAACCTTTAGTTTTTGCACAGCTATGAATGTAAAACAAGCCCTCACTCCATTGTCTCATGCTTAATGGACAAGGTTTGAAATTGCCATTATGAACTCAGTGAAATGCTTCATCCTTCTATGTATTCAGGAATAGAAAAGACATTAAACCATTTCGCCAAAACATCTGAAATAAAATAATTACAAAACTGCCGACATTTCCCCCATCATATTGTTTCGTCTATTTATCTATCTTTACATGCACTTATCGGCTAAATAGTGAATTATTTTCTTGGAGATACTGGCTTGGAAATGTTTCTGATTGGGCAATATACAGGAGCTGAATGAACATCTCTGGGCTTCTCACTATCAATTATCCTTTATTAAAGAATAGTGACTTTCACAGAATACCTCAGTAATTTCCTTGCGATACATCCAGTGCCACCGGCACTTCGAACGAAAACCACCCAGAACAATTGGTAATTTAAAAAAAAATCCATTTTAAATCTTTGCAAGGGTTTGTTTTTAAAGCAAAATGAAATTGTGGTCCTGTTGGTTAACCTCAATCTAAGAGCCACCCAGGGTGACAAACCCTTGATGGGTGGTCCAAACAAATTGTGTGGAAACATCTCCCCTTCCCACTCCCCCTCCCAGCTTCAGAGCGCAGCAAGGGAAATAGCTGCACAACAAGCACTGACAGCAGCAGACATCAAAAAGTGTCTTGTTCAGAATCTCTTGTGCCTTTATTCCTGGGAAAGTGAAAGTCGTATGTCGTGCAATACACAGTCAATATGAAAACATTCTTAATTCCGTTTAGGATTCCTATCTGAACAAATAATAAAAACAATACCAATATTAAAAGATACCGAGCATAAACACACAAACAGTCTAATTCACCATCAAAAAGTGGAGTAGGAACTAACCTTCTGGCTTCTGGGATTCATACTGCTCAGTGTAATCCTGGTATAGTTATCCCCAGTTATGGTTATGGTTTTCTTTGCAAACACCATCACTTGTGGTAAGTGAGTTGATAAGCATGGGCTTCTGCGGAGCTTAACCTGCAAACAGCTGCCAGCTGCCACACTCTGAACATGCAGTGTTGAGGGAAGCAGCTCACAGGAGACTGCAGGAACTGAATCCGAAAATGGCCCATATATAAAAATGGAATTTTAGTATGCGGACTGAGCCAAATGTCATGGTTAGTTTGGATTACTGGGACCAACTGCTGAATCATACCAAATGGATTGTTATGGTACTGAGTAATGAGATTTATCTCCTAGCAGGGTGTTTATTATTGTTGTTGGTACAGATCTACCAGATTTGTGGAGTCCTGTAGTTCAGTGGTTAGAGCGCTCGCTTTGCAAGTGAGAGACCTGAGTTCAATTCCAGGCAGGTCAGGGCGAAACCTTGGGCAAGTTTCCTTACTCCACATGCCTAATAATAATCCCTCCAAAAAAAACAAAGCAATAATGGTCATTTTCAATCTACGACTGTTTGTGGGACATTGCTGTGCGCAATTGGCTGCCGCATTCGCCCACAAATATACAGTCAATTCACTTTACAGTGTGTTCTGTGAAGCGCTTTGGGACGTCCTCCCGACGTGAAAAGCGCTATATCAAATGCAAGGATTATTATTATCTACTGCTGGGTAACTGACTGTGCTTCACTCGAAAGAAAAAAAAGATTGCATTGTCATAGATAATATTGATAATTCTTACATTTGGTATTGCACATTTCAGGAGGATGTCCCAAAATGGATTTCACTGTGAAGTGCAGTGACTGTACGTGTTCTGGGCAAACACAGCAATCAATCTGCAACGTCCTACATACAGGCATGACAAATTTTATTTGGGGAATTGTTGGCCAGAACACCAGGAGAAACTCCCTTCTCTTTTCCAATAGTGCCATGGATCTTTATCATCTATCTAAACAAACAGACGGGCCCCAAGAACGATAATCCTTGAATTCAAGCGTTGCAAGAGATCAACTGTTCCCAGTGCCCAGCACCAGTTAACGATTTTCAGACAACTCTGCCTTCTCGTGACTCCTAGGCATGTCATTCTTTAGTTAACGGCAAGTGTTAGCAAGGTGATGTTTAGATGGGATGCTTGAACTATCATCCTAACGTGCTCTTTCTCCAGGGCTGTGGACAAGATTATTCATTCCTTATGTCCAAAACCCCCTGAAGTTCCACTGTATGCAACAATAAAGGGATTGTTGACAGCGAGAAAAACAAAATGTTAGCAGAAACTCCATTCAACTTTGACCCATTCCCTTCACATTTCTTGGTTTCAATAAGTAACTAACATTTAATTTACAAAAGCATTGCACCGAACGTGGAGGTCTGACCATTTTATCCACTTTTGCCCCCAATCTCTGGAACTTCATCCCAGAGTCCCTCCAACTTCCTCCCTCCCCTTTTTTCAAGGTCAATCCGAAGACCTAGCTCCCAAGATGGGGGTGGGAAGGGGAAAGATAACTGAAATCGATTAGATTCATGAGCAGGGCATCAGTGACACACCGTGACGGAAACTTAACCTTTAGGCTTCTAAGCAACTTTCAAACTTCTACTTTGCAACATAAAAACATTACATTTTAAAAAACCTATTCCTGGCGGGTACTGAATAATTTTAAATTTTACCTTACATTAAAAAAAATAAAACTGGTTCTGGGACTCGATTTAAGTCCTTTATAAAACAAGTAAGAGATAACATGGGTGAATAGGCTTGCCATATTGATTGTGGACTGAATACTCACATATTTTTCACCCTGTTGACCTGTTTGGGCAGCCATTGAACCCACAGCAGCTGCTGTGCCCTTCTCACCCCCTGGACTTTTGCTGGTTTCTTTGACTTGCTCTTTCAGCTCATCCGGGAGTTTGACATCCCCAACCCCGAGAGCCTCATTCTTGTATTTCTTCACAAACTGTTCCATCTGTTTCACCTCATGAGGAGACAGCTCATGGCACTTGGAAGGGTCCTGATCGTGAGCAGGCAACTGTTTGGCAAGCTGCTTTTTTCGATACTGAGCTCCCTCGGAACCAGCCACTGGTTGCTTCTCCTTTGGTAGTAGTTCCATGTAGCGCATAGCCTTCAGAGGAATGAATTAGTTTAATTTTAACAGCTATCCAAGTTTGTGACTCACTCAGAAAAAGTCTGCTCCCTTTTTAAGTAAAGGAGCCTACAAAATGTTCCAGCGATCTCATCCGACCTGGACTGGTTTGATGGTCACTCTGGGAGATTAAGTACATCAAACCATCCATAAACATTTTATTTCCAAAGGAAAATATTTTCTAGCATTAGATAAAACAACAAGATAAGTCTGCAGCTGGAGTGATTTGAGCAGCGTTGTATTGGCAAACAGCCAACCCATACAGGTTACCAGTAAAAAAAGGACACTTTCACAGTATGGCATGCAGTTAGATGTTTGGATTTCTTTCTAAGAAAATAAATGCACTCTAGTGATTAACACTTTCTTTAGAAGTATGCAAATACCAGCGTTGGTCAGCATAGAAGGGCTGAAAGGAACTTGAAACTTCCGAATTAATATCTAAAGTTCAGCAGTTTAAATAGGGTTACAAAACTACTGTCAATATGAGGATTCACAGATTTAGACTTCAATTAAATTTTACTGCACAGGCTTGAACCCTGCTTGCAGTGGGTTTCTGTTAAGGGGAATAAAGAGGGAGCTCCTTCAGAGAGCCGGCACAGGCACAATGGGACAGATGGCCTCCTTCTGCGCTGTGAAATGCTACGACTCTGCAGTCGTCTATGATAAAAATAACTCATCGCAGCAGCCTTGACAGATTTCAACATGAAAAGGCACAAGACCTCTGGACCAAACACTCACCACTGCCTGACTCTGGACAGGTGGGGCCCACTCGTACGTGACCGTCTTGAAGGACACGTCCTTCTTGGCCGCTACGGGGTTAGTCAGTGTCACTACGTTACGTTTGTAGACGGGGACTCCATCGGTCTTGAGCTTCGCGATGAGACTGGTGTATTTAGTGTCCTCGAAAAGCTTGCCCACTTTCTTGTCATCCTCCGTACTGCTCTGGACATCGTGCTCTTCCTGGCCGCACTTACAATTACGACAGATCTTTCTGTAAATTCAAAAGAGTCGTGTCAAATTCGCCTGAAAGTGGGTTAGTACGTTGTTGGTTTGTTATTAGCACTGCACAGCTTTGTGCCGTAATCACTTACGCAGTCAGGAGATGGCTATCTCCACACCACCAGGGAAACGAGTCAGACTTAATAAATAATATTCCCCGCATTTGGATAGAACAGCTACAATGTTGAAAATCTATCAAAGTGCTTCAACAACAACAACTTGCATTTATAAAGTGGCCTCCACGCAGGGTGGCGTCTCAGAGCTCTTTAGTGCGGGTGAGAATGCGTGCAGCGGAGTTTTGAATTTGTTGAATTTTGTGAATAGTGGAGCAGGGAAGATCAGCGAGGAGGGCATTTGAGTAGTCAAGGCAGAAGGTGATGGACGAGGGTTTCGTCAGCTTTTGGAGTGATGTATGGACGGAGGCAGCAAAGTGGCGGAGGTGGAGGAAAGCGGTCCTGGCCAGGGACCGGGTGTGGGGTACGCAGGATAGCTGTGAATCGAACCTGACCCTATTTTGCTCACGGGTTCAGTAATTCTGAGGGAGAGATCCGGTAGGGTGAGGAGGTCTGAACCGCAGGTGAGAAGACATTAGCGGGAGCCAAAGAGTATGGCTTCCGTCTTGTCAACGTTCAGCTGCAGGACGTTTGCACTCATCCATACCTTAATGTCCTTCAGACAACCTGACAGGACATTAGCAGACCGGGAGTCGCAGCTGGAGGAGGAAAAGTACATTTGCGTGTCATCCGCTTACATGTGGTAGTCCACGCCATGTCTGTGGATGACATCGCTGAGAGGGAGCATGCAAATGAGGAAAAGTAGGGGGCCAAGGATGTGGCCGCAGGTGACCAGGTGGGGGCGAGAGGAAAAACCACTGGCCAAGATGAAGTACTAGTGGTTGGTTAAGTTGGACTCAAACCATGCAAGTGCGGTCCCACTAAGGTGGATGAGGGAGGAGAGGTGGTGGAGGAGGATGGCGTGGTCGACTGTATCGAACGCAGCGAAGAGGTCCAGGAGGATGAGGAGGTAGGGGGAACCCTGGTCACAGAGAGAGTGGATGCTCTTTGTTACTTTGACGAGCGCTGTTTCTGTGCTGTGAACTGGGCAGAAAGCGGACTGGAGGGGTTCAAGTAGGGAATGGAGGGCCAGGTGTGAGTGAAGTTGGTTTGCAACAACGCATTCCAGAGCTTTGGCCAGGAAGGAACGGGTTTGAAATGGGACGGTAGTACACGAGGTTGAAGGGATTGAGATCAGTTCTTTTCAGGAGGGGAGTAATGACAGCTGTTTTGAGGGGGAGCGGGAAAAAAAGAATATTTCAAAGAGCTGTGCAAAAGTGTCATGTTGTACATCAAGCAGGGGAATAAGTGATTCAAAGATCATGGTAAAATAGATCTTTTTAGGAGGCTTTTGAAGGCTGGAAAGGCAGGAAACATCTGTACTGCACACAATAGAGGCAAGCTCAGCCGAGATAGCAAACAGGTTAATTTTTCTAAATATGGTAAGGTCTGAACAGGTTGCTCAGCAACACAATAAACAGCGAGGAGAAACAGGCTTCTGGTGAGGAAAGAGAGAGAGAGAGAGAGGGGCTTGTTACAACACAGTGCAACGTAGCTCTGAGGAACTGTGAGTCAATGGCTGGGTGGTTGCTCTCAATGGGGAATAGGCTGTGGCACAAATGCAAAGCTACAGCAGGCAACAAGCAGCGACTGAGTTTAGAAGTCATAATGGAAATTACTTCCAGGAAATCTGCCACCTGGGAACGCAGGGAGTGAGCGAACAAAGATCAGCTTGGGTAAGCAGGTGTCATTTTACACAGCAAAGTTATGGAGGAGCCTTGCAAGGATGCCAGCTGCATCTATAGGCAGTGTGAGGATTTGGGGGTGGGGGGGGCAGATGTGGGGATGGGATGGTTTGCAATTGATGAGCCACCCAATGGCCATTATTTAATAGAGCGGGGCAGGGAGAGGACTGGCCTCTTCTCTGACCTTCTTTCTTTTTTTAAAAACTAAAGGCAGAAGCAGCAGATGATAAATAATAATGAATAATTCCTTGCATTTGATATAGCGCTTTTCACATCTTCTCAAGTCTCAAAGTGCTTCACAGAATATACTGTAAAGTGAATTGCCTGGATATTTGTAGGCGAAACCGGGCACCAATTGCGTACAGCAGTGTCCCACAAACAGTCGTGGATTGAAGTGACCAATTTATTATGTTTTTTTGAGGGATTATTATTAGGCGTGTGGAGTAAGGAAACTTGGCCAAGGTTTTGCCCTGCCAGGAATCAAACGCAGGTCTCTTGCTTGAGAGGCAAATGCTCAAACTACTGAGCTACAGGACGCCATAATAAACATGAGGCCTTCTGCTTTGCTGGCTTCCTTCAGGCTTATGGACAGTATGAACACGGACTAATAATAATGCTTCTTAAATTTTATATAGCACCTTTTATGTCAGGACTATGTTTCAAAGCATTTCACAGGATATACTGTAAAGTGTAGTGACTATGTTTTCCGGTTGAACGTGGCAGCAAGTTTACTCGTAAAAAAAGCCTTGAAATGAATGTAAAACAGGAAGTCTCGGATTACACAGCAGATTCTTTCTGATACCCATTTGTGACAATACCCATCCCTCCAACACCCCAAAAAGCTGGAATCAAGCCATCAGAGCATATCATCCAAAGCAGGTAGTGAGCTTCAACTGGCAAGCAACGATCTCTAAATCCATGCAATAAAACAAGAATCCAGTTCTTCCACATTTCATTGGCACTCATCTTCGGAACAGAGGCTGTCTGAGTAGGAAGAAGCAATCTAGAGACTAAGCACACAACACTGCAGTAGCCAACCTTCATTCTTTGAGTTATAACAGAGCAGGTTTGGGCCAACAATCCAATGAATGTTGAGCTATTGAGGTCAACTGGCACCTGAAGGCAATAATTCTCCACACAAAGGAGAAAAGAATGGAACCCTAATCCTGCCCCAAGACATGGCCACGCACTTTGGACTAAATGCCAAACTAAATGCTGCCACTCAACTGCAAGGACATTCTTATCAGCTCATTCAGCTAGAAAATCTCAGCTCTCTGTAGCCTAAATGTTTCCCTTTTGAATAGACTGAAATGACTACTTTGAGAAGGTATAACTTGATCCTCTTGTGGTTAATGTGTCTGCATGTATTTTGTCTCAGAGATAAACTTAATGCAGGTCATTTTTGGGGGTTCAGCCACTAAATTTTTGGGGATCAGTTCACTAAAACTTAGTGAGTGTTTTAAAATTGCAGACTGCAATTAAACACATCTTGTATTTCTTGTAACTGCTGCTGCTGGATTTATATACGATTTAGCTTGGGTTTTTGAATGTTGTATTTCAAGGAAGACTTAGATTTATCAAGCTTTTTAATTCTTAATTTGTTGGAGCTGAATTTGTGACAGCCTGGGGAGGTTACTGGCATATCTTCTCAGTTGGAAAACCACATAAAAAAGCAAGGTGAGTGGGCCGAAGCTTTAAAACTGAGTAAAGGAATTGATAGAACTGGACAGATGGGTGAGCGAAATGATACTGCGTGTTGGCAATCCTTTCTGTTCAATGTAAAGTATGTCACGGCAAAGTAACTCGTGCTCAATAGATTGAGCTGTAAAACTGTAAAATTGCAGGGGTCAGAAATACATCTCTCAATAAAAAGCAAACATTTCTTCCAAAGATGTCCTAAGTGACTTTTCCATGTACTAAATAAACCAACAGGTTTGAATAAACAAACAAATCTTCATATTCAAAGCATATATATTCTCTTTCCCCTCCTCCTCAAAAAACATGTGAAATCTGGAAATTTCATGAAAGCACATGGTGCCTCATTTCTGTGAAAAGGCAACAGGTTTTGTAAAAGGAAGTACTACAATTTCCCTTTTATTGCCAGTAAGCTGCATGTTAATTCAATGTGCAAAGGTTTCATGCAATATGCTCACCAGTGTACTGAAGTGAACTTTATTTTACAATCCAAACAATGCAAGGGCTGATTGACAGTCTCTGCGTGAATTTTCACTGTCAGTAATGCCCTGGGAATGTAGTTGCAATACACAGAGGAGATCGTCGTAAAGCAACTGTTTTAAAAGTGAAAGGAACACTGCGGGATAAGAATGCCATTTTTTAATACAAGTACTCATGAGAAATGTAATCTATGAGATTACCTTTCTCATAGGATCTATGATTTTTAGATTAAAAAATATAAACCCAACACTTCTTGATCAGTGCTGCAATCTTTGTGATGTTTCCAAAGCTTGGTGTGTGCACATCTCACACCCTCACTCACATATGCACACACATCACACCACCCCAAGCGATTCCTTCCATTGGAAATAATGAGCAGGGTACTGAGACAGTGTGAGAAATTGTCACAAACTACGCCCAGCACAAAGATAATATCTGTCAACAGTAACAAAGTGTTTTGTGTTACATTATTACTTTTTTGACAAAAATATGTAGGGGGGACATTTTTTCTCCCATAAATATTCTTATTATCCCAGAGCACTGCTTCACAGCAATGTCTTATAATCAAATTGGTTTGGAAAGTAATAGATTCGTTGGAAAGTAAGTACCATGTCAGTTTTATCTATCATCATGAGTGATTTACTTGTTTTGCAGCAGGAATATTTACAGTAACTTTTGGAACTTTGAAATCAAATTAAACAGAACATTCATTTTGAGACCATATTAGTTCAAAAATGACACGACAGACCAAAATACAAACATTCAATACATTCTTGTCATATTTACAGCAAACCACTGTAAACCCTAGTGCAACAGTGGCACTTGAATTAAAGCAAAGTTTCGAAAATCCTGAATACAAGTGCATGACTTAAAAACTGGTACAATTTCAAGTGGTTTTACCAAACCAGCAAATGCAAAGGAGAAGTGACATATGCACCTTATTCCACACTAAGTTAAATCTCCATATTGTACATTTGATGCTCCCAAATGGTTATTATAAATAATAAATACTACTACTAATAATCATTGCATTTGGCATAGCACCTTTCAGGTCAGGACATCTCAAAGCGCTTCACAGGATGTACTGTTAATGTATACTTGTATGCAAACACAGCAGCCAGTTTTCACCACAGCAAGACAGATTCCTTGCAGAGTCAATACTTTCCCTGGTAGTTGAGTTGTGCAGTTCTATAATTGCATTTTTTCGTATTACAGCCATATGCTGTTCTGAAAGACTTAAATAATCTTTATACATCTGACCCAATCCTATATCAGACAAGACTATTCCTTTGTAGTTCATTTAATAGTAGAAAAGAGGGAGGAGGGGATTAGAAGTGGGAGTGGAAGAGCTAATAGAATTTAATGAGATCATAAAATGTCATGAGCGCACTGTGATTTAAGTGAAAGAGCACATTTATAAACATCACTGCATCATCTTTGATTCAAGTTTGGAAACTGAAGTTTAGTTTCTTCTCATACTCCACTGACTTCCTGTGTCCTAAGATCCTAAAATATAACTCCCTTTACTCTCTAGCAATTCCCTATCTATGTGATCTTTTCATAACCCACTCCTCTGATTGCCGCATCCATTCAGCAAACTCCGTCCCATTGTGTGTCCCCAACCTCTCCACCCCATCATTGCTGCCTTTAGCAACTATTCTCTCTGCCTCTACCTTCGGTCTTGCTTGATGTCTGAAAACCTACCTCTTCAACCGTGCTACAGTCACCTCTCCCCTCCCTTTCTCAGTGTCCAACACCGTCCCTGTGAATCGCTCCGAACCCTCATTTTACACGAAGGGTACTATATAAATGCAAGTTGTTGCTGTATTATTAGTTTTCTGGTAGACATCAAGTAGAGTAATATACAATCGTAATGAAATATATCTGGGCAGCAAGTCAACCAGCAACAGTACAAGTTGCAAATCATGACTGCATTCAAGCTGAATGAAGAAAAATCAACAAGGTGCGTCAGCAAATAGAACCATTCATTTGGTTTGACACTCTTGTTCTGTTGTCTCTGATGATTTTATTGAATGGAGCACAATGTAAGAGTCCAGCAGCAAAGCACAGACTTACAACTGAAAACTATGTAGTCTGAATTCCAGCCTTGACTGACATTCAAACCTGTTGATCAATAATGTTTTCAGATAGGAGCACTTTACCTGGCAGTGGGGCACTCTGTCTCGACAACAAAAATCAACCAGGACCAGGCTTGTTATGAAGAGGTTTACTTCCAATCAGTCATCCATAATCCCCTGTATGAACACAACTGTGCAGTTTAGCTTCTTTAAACTGCAGCAGTATGCCAACCCACACTCTGTGGTCCCAAGCCTTGGGTCTTGCTAACTTGCATCCGATACTCTCTGGAATTAGGTAAGCAAGATGAGCCCCTGCGCAGAGAATGCACATTCCTTTCCAAATGCAGGAATTTCCTCATTAAGTTGGGAGGCATGTAACTCTGCTTGGTTTGGATATTCTTAAACATGACCAAAAAAAACACAAGGTGGGTCTGAGCTTCCAATATTCAAGCCTAATGGCCCAGCATAAGCCACAGAAACATAAAACATTTTTAGATGATATTTGAACCAAATAATACATTGAAAATGTAAAAAAAAAAGTAATTATTTAATAGATGCAATACCTCCAAAAGTGGAGTTCAAATCCTTCACATTTTTCCTTGCATTTGAGACATGGGGCCCCTGCTCCCTGTTCATGTCCAAGGGTGATCTGCAGGGTAAAGCACATACATTATGTCATCAGTCTCAGTATATAAGACATAAATTTCTTTCCATGTCCAAGATGGACATTGCAAATAAGATAAACAAAATCTTTAAACGCCACTCAATATTTGCTCCAGCTAAGAATTCTATTAAAGGAAATGTTCGCTGATGAAAGCCATTCAATTTCAACTCCTTGAGAGCCATTCCTCAAATGCAGACTTTGACATACTGTGAAGAAAAATGATGTATATTTTTACTGAGTGGTCACAGCTGCTTTCCCTAACTCTTGGTTCACTTTATGCCTAGCCATATCTCTGGCGTTCGACCATTGCAAACAAAATAGTCTACTAAATTATACAGGAGCCTCATCTGGAAATGTGTCAAAAAATCTACTTTTGTCCTTTTAGGGTAAATTGAAATGAAGACAAATTGGAACAGACAGCCTTCTGATCAATGCCCCCATTTGGCTCCATCTTGAGTTTGTGATGTGGCTGACAGGATTGTTAAAACGTGGAATACCCTACCTGGGATTGTGGCTGAAGCTAAATCGATATTAGCTTGCAAGAAGGAATTGGATAAATAACTGAAACAGGCAATAATAATAATACTTGCATTTTATATAACGCCTTATCACATCGTTGAGACGTCACAAAGTACTTCACAGAATATCCTGTAAAGTGGATTGACTATATTTTGTGGGCAAAAAGTGGCAGCCACTAGTGCCCATCCCACAGTTATTCGTGGATTGAGTGATCAAATTATTATTATTTTTCAAATTTTTAGCCCCGGAAAGCAATCTGCCAATTGACTAACAACTGGGTTCCTACTTTCTGCTAGGTAAAGAGAGGCATGTGGAGTAAGGAAACTTGCCTAAGGTTTCGCCCCTTCCACCCGGGAATCAAACCTGTGAAATATTAAAGGTATGGGGAAGGGGGAAATGGGACTAACAGAGGTAGCAATAAGCACAATGGGCCAAATGTCTCCTGTACCGCAAGTTTCTATGTTTTTAATGGGACCAACATTTTTAGTCTAACATTTTAGATTATTGCTCTGTTTGTGGAGGATTTGGCATTTAAGAGAGAATAAAAGTTCCTTCACTGTCGCGGTAGAACCAGCACAAAGGCCTCACACATCCAGCGAAGCAAGCAACAAAATCCCCTATTGACAGCAAATCATTTTGCCTAAAAACTGGCTGCTGTGCAAATGGCTGTTAGTGGGAGGAGGGGAGGGGGAGAGACACTGTTATTAAAGCCATCTGAGCATACGTCAAACTGTGAAAATGCATTCTCTATTACAGAGTAGCAGAGAGAAAAAAAATTCGAAGTAAGGAAAACCAGCAGTGGTTGTTTGAGACTAGAAGAAAACAGGAGAATTTATGTCTCTCAGGTCAGGTAACCATGCTTTGCAGTGCACACACATATTCTATTTACCAAAGGTTGAGTCACATTACTGCAATATCCTTTGCTGAGCCAGCAATTTAACAATGAAGAATTGGCCTCCCTCCCAACTGCTTGTACTCTTTCCAAAACAGGTAATCTGCAAGCTCGTGGTTAAGATGAGAAAGAAAATTCCATTGAAAAAAAATTACAGTTTAAGAAAGGAATCGGTCTAGGATACAAACCCATTTTTCTCTTTGCAAGGTCAATCTGACCTTTTCTTAAGAGAGAAATACTTGACAAATGTAGGATGGAACCAAAACTCGTTTTAGTACAAAATGTGTCCGTCATTGTGCCGTGAAAAGCATGATATATAAAAACAATCCACAATTTTACAACTTCATGCAAAAAAAACTAGTAATTTGATACAGTCTTATATTGTTGAAGCTTCTCAAAACACATCACAGGAATTTACTGTGAAGTGTTTGCCTATTGTGTTTGTAGGCAAACACAGCAGCCGTGTTTGCACACAGCAATGTCCAACAATTAGCCATGAAGTGAACGAACAATAGAAACTAGGGGGCTGTTGGCCTGACACAGGGAGAAACTCTTTTCAAATAATGCCACAGGATCTTCAATGTGCACCTGAATAGGCAGACGTAACCTCAATTTGACGTTTCAATTGAGGGACCGTACCTCTGAAAATCCAGAGTTCCCTCACCCCTATGCTTGAGTGTCAGCCGAGGCAAAGTCCAGACTTGGGACTTGAACCCACAGCCTTTTGATTCAGAGGCAAGAGTGCTACCGACTGAGCCACACTGAAGCCTAAACAATACGCACCAGTGCATATGTAAAGTCTTAAGAACAAGAATACACGTACTGGTTGACATTTTGATCCATTTGTCTGATATTCTAAATTGCTAAATAGTGGACAGTTCTTCCTTCCAGTAGAGCAATCCAAAATCAGATTATCTTTAATGTCAAAGTCATAGATTAGTAATAATAATCCTTACATTTGGTATTGGGCCTTATCACATTGTCAAGTTGTCTCAAGTGTTTCACAGGATATGCTGTAAAGTATAGTGACTGTATATTTTGTAGGCAAATGTGGCAGCCAATTTGCACACAGCAATGTCCTACAAACAGCCATTTAGGGAATGACCAATTTTATTTGGGGGATTGTTGGCCAGGATACCAAACAGTCTTCTGTAAGTAAGGGCATTCCTTAAAAGATAATAATAATCCTTGCATTTGATATAGCGCCTTATCACGTCTTCAAAATGTCTCAAAGCGCTTCACAGAATATACTGTAAAGTGAATCGACTATATTTTGTGGCCAAAATGCGGCAGCCAATTGCACACAGCAGTGCCCCACAAACAGTCGTGGATTGAAGTGATCAATTTTTTAAAAAAATGATTACTATTCCCGCAAAAGCGATTTGCTGGTAAACTAACAACCGGGTTCCTATTTACTGCGAGGTAATATAGGATTATTTTGAGGATATGAAACTAGGGTCGTAACTAGCGTCTTGAAGTGCTTCAAAAAGTAATATTGATTAGAAGACATGAAGTGAGTGTAGTTATATAGGCAAATGAGGCAGCAACAGCCCATAAACTATGACAATTAATTTGAATTTGAATTTGAATACTCCGCTTTGGAATAACAAAGTCTTGCATTTGATAAAGTACCTATAGCACTGAAATGTCAAAGCCCTTTCTACAGGGTTTCTTCACAGAAGGGGAGGGGGGTGTGTGGAGGGTGTGTGTGTGTGTGGGGGGGGGAGGGGATGTGTGTGCGTGTGTGGAGGGGATGTGCGTGCGTTGTGGAGGGTGGTGTGTGCGTGGAGGGGTGGTGTGTGTGCGTGGAGTGGGGCGTGTGTGTGCGTGGAGCGGGGGTGTGTGTGCGTGGAGCGGGTGTGTGTGTGCGTGGAGGGGGGCGGTGTGTGTGGGTGGAGCGGGTGTGTGTGTGCGTGGAGGGGGGCGGTGTGTGTGGGTGGAGGGGCGGTGTGTGTGGGTGGAGGGGGGGTGTGTGTGCGTGGAGGGGGGGGTGTGTGTGCGTGGAGGGGGGGTGTGTGTGCGTGGAGGGGGGGTGTGTGTGCGTGGGGGGGGGGGTGTGCGTGGAGGGGCGGGTGTGTGCGTGGAGGGGCGGTGGTGTGTGTGTGTGGAGGGGGGCTGTGTGTGTGTGGAGGGGGGATATGGTCCCTTTGAGCGCACCAAGATGTAGAGAAAAGGCGCGGAAATGGTTTTAAAAGATCTGATAAGCTGGTGGGACAGGCTTCCTGTTCATAAGCCATTAAAAGCAAACCTTAAAATCCAAATGCAATTTTTTAAAAAAAACTCAATTCTTAGAACTAAGACTAAGTTTGTAAGTTGTAAGTCAATGATTTTATTTTAGAACAGGAACTTATTTGGATTTTTTTCCAAGAAATTAATGTGCCCTGCGGCAGAATGATACACATTCATTTGAAAAATATCCGCACGCTCTGTTAACAAAACTAAATTGCATTTATATGGCAGCTTTCATACTGGGAGGACGTCCCAAGGCGCTGGCCAATGAGGGATTTGCACCCGGGCTGCGGGTTGGGATGAGAGAGTGGTGGAGGAGGGAAGATGACCAAAGGTACGATCGAAAGAAGGTCTTGGGATGGGCCTTGAAGGAGGTAAGGAAGGGGGTGAGGCGGAGGGGCTGTGGGATGGACTTCCAGAGGGTGGAGTAGAAAGGCTCAAGGACCGACCACCGATAGTGGAGCAGGTAGCGCAGAGACATGGAGCAGGCCAGTGCCTATAGAGTGGAGCGAATGGACAGGTTGGTGAAGCTTTAATAGGTCGGAGAGAAGCAAGAATGTGGAGGGTTTCAAATGTTAACAATGAGACTCCAGCAAAATGTAGTTTATATCTTGATGGGACTCCTGGGAATCTGGGAGAAGAATTTGAGACTAATGCACATTCAACATGTGCTGTGCCTCTTGTGTCAAAGAGTACAACAGTCTCTGTATATATTATAATATATCCTGGAGTCCTGTAGCTCAGTGGTTAGAACACTCACTTTGCAAGCGAGAGATCTGGGTTTGATTCCCGGCAGGGTGAAACCTTGGGTAAGTTTCCTTACTCCACTCGCCTGATAAAAATCCCTCCAAATAAATTAATAAATTGGTCATTTCAATCCACGACAGTTTGTGGGACACTGCTGTATGCAATTGGCTGCCGCATTTCGCCCACAAAATATACAGTCAATTCACTTTACAGTCTATTCTGTGAAGCGCTTTGTGACGTCTAGAAGACGTGAAAAGCGCTATATCAAATGCAAGGATTATTATTATTAAATAAAAAGCTGCCACTCACCAACTCCAATACTTCCATACTGAGTGATCACAAAACAGCAACTTGAGCAATGGAATTGTTTATTATATGCTATTATATTTCAGTGAAGTGTCGATTTTTATTTCAGTGCACACAATACAACTAAAACCTAAAAATGTATAGCTGTAACAAGCAAAGGACCAAGAATTAAAGGAATACGCTTCCTTGAAGAAATGTTTCTATGAAACAACTAGTCACTTTTATTCTCTGGACCTGAAATTTGAGGTTCGTCATACACTCTATAGCACAGGAAGAGGCTATCCAGCTCATCATGCTGTGCTAGTTCTTCAAAAGATGCAAACATTTATTCCCACCTCCCTGCCTTTTTCGAATACGTGTCAATTCCCTTTTAAAGGCTACTGTGGCTTCTGCTTTAGGTATTTCATGACCTATGAACTCATGTTAAAAAAATTCTCCTAACCTCTCCCTTTTTTGGTAATGATCTTCAATACATGCCCTCTGATCACTGACTCACTGACTAATATATTGTGTGGAAATGGATACATGCCTCCTAAACTCCTGAAGATAGCTTGTTACTATTTCTTTCTTCTTTAGATTCACATCAGCATCATTTGGCTGTTTATGGAATATTGCTGTGCACCAATATTGCTGTGCCCACAAAAACACATCACTTTACAGTATATCATTAATTAAATTTGTATTCTTTTGGAACACGAGTTTCCTCTGTAAAAAAAAAACTCCATTCCTCAAATGGTTGAATACAATAAACCGAAAATACTGATCACCATGCACTGTGCATTCACAGGGATATTGAAATATCAGCACAGAATAATGATGGATATTTAAGCTTTAATGTAGTTAAACTTTTTTAAAAAATTGTATTGTGGATAGGGTGGGTGAGTTAACTCGTATATTCCCTCCTTGTAAATGGAACCTACAACAATATGTTGTATGTAACCAAACCCATGTGAATATATCCATATCCACGGGTGAGAATGAATGGTGCATTTATGTGGAAATAATCCTGACATTTTCGATACAGTGGAATCTGTGCTGATCCAAGTCACAAAATCAAGATCACAAGATTGGTTGGATGAAGATAGCCCTTCGGTCCAAGCAATCGCATCTCTCCAGAACCACCCACCACCCCCATTTCAGCATCAAGCTGCTTTTTAAATGAATCTAACGTCCTGGTCTCAATCATCTTTCTCTGCAACCTATTCAAGTCGTTCATTACCCTTTGAATAAGGTAATTCCCGCCTCGGTGCACTCTAATTGATCTGGGTTTGCCTTTTCAATCCCATTTAAAATTGTATAGACCCCAAGGAGGTCCCCTCTGAGTCTTTTTCTTGCAAGACGTGCGAGAGCCCCAGCTTGAATCCCTCTCCTGCTCGAGTACCACTTCAAGGCAGTTTAAAAGACACAACAGAGTTTGACACGAGTAAGTGAAGCACATCCTTGACCGCCTTCAGAGAATCTGAAACGCCGTCATCTTGTACAGTTCTTAAAAATGCAAAAAACGTTCCAGGGACAGATCTGGGGCTGCGACAGCGTGCGGAAAAGTGAAAACGGTTGGATTACACAATGCAATGCGTTTAGCAATCGGGATTTCTCCCAAATAAAGTTTGGACAACTCAAAAGTTCAGCGCATCACCCATTCCTTCGGGCGCTGCACAAGTAAAAGCATACGATTATGAATATTTTTTTTCGACAGCCGGGGCTCTCTCCGGATCAAATCAAAATAGGAATGAAAGGCTCCCACTGTAGCAAAAATACTGATTAGATTATTTTTCAAAAATGCCTAAGTTAACTGTGTGCTGTTGGGGGGGGTCACCACCAGCAAACATGTTGAAACCGACCTACATTTCCTGTGCTGGTTTCCTTCCCCACCCATCTCTCTCTCTCTCTCTTTCTCTTTCTCTCTCTCTTTCTCTCTCTCTTTCTCTGTTAAAACCCACACAACCTATGAATGAATGAATGCTCTTTCTGCTTCTTTTCTCCCCACCACCACCACCAACCCCCTCCCCCCCTCCCCTCCTCCCCCTTCCCCCCTCTTCCCCCCTCTGAACTGATCTATTAATCGGACACTTAAGGATGACTCCTGTGTGTCTCACCTCCTATGAGCCTTTTTTGATGTACGATTCACGGAACATTAGAGACTTGGGACTGCGGAGAGCGATCGCGGTGACAAAAGCCTCTCAAGTCGAACCCCCCTCTCAGTTCCTATCTCTCCGTTTCCATCATCTTTCTCCACCGACCGACAAGAACGCTACAGCCAAACACATTCCCCTCCGCTCACCCACAAAGGGATGAGCAACTTCCACAGCAAAACCCCTCCAGTCAGCAGTTGGGCTCTATGCATTTGGAGGTCCTATTCGACATATTATCTGACAAAAGCGGCTGTAAGTTTTATTGATCAATAGGTTGATTTGGAGTTGGGTGTAGACCCCCTTCCTCCCCCCCAGCCCCCCACCCCACCCCCCACCTCCACCCCCACCAGTCTCCCCATCAGACGAGAGAAAGGTTCAAGAGGGGTTTTTTTTAAACATATATATGTAATGTACATATCATAATAAAACAATCAAAGGGTTAGACTGAAAGGCGTTGATGGTGTTCTTACCTTTTTCATTTTGTTTTCCAAATCCATGTCTTCCAAAGTGCTGGGGTTCCCTGTGGGTGTGGGTGGGGGTGTGTGTGGGTGGGGGGTGTGTGTATGTGGGTGGGGGTGGGGCTGTGTGGGTGTGTGTGGGTGGGGGGTGTGTGTATGTGGGTGGGGGGGGGATACAATTGGCAACAGTTACTTCACTCTCCAAAGAAACCAGTGGATCTCACAGCACTTCCGCCACAATGTAGCGAAATGAACAACGCGACCAATCAGGTCCCAGTCCTCCTGGAGCGGGCTGACCAATCAGGAAAGACCCGGGTTCGGGGCCAATCACACCCCGCCCAATCGCCAACCCATCTGACCAATCACCGCGTGGGATCCGAGGGATGGGGCCAATTCACAGCCTCCCTTTGCCCCAATTTACCCTCAAAGCCTTCGAACCCAACCGTGACAGAGTTTCCGGTCAACGTGCGCCGCGGCCAACCGTTACATTGATAGGAACCCCTAAACCTTCTCGGTGGCTCGGGACGGGCGGAGTGGCGGGTGGGCTCCGTCTGCGGCTGCACCAGGCAGACGGATGGATCTCCGTGCGATGAGTGAGAGTTTGTTGATAATAATCCTCGCATTTGATACGGCGCTTTATCGCGCAGTCAGAACGTCTCAAATACGCTTCACGGTGTTTTACCGTAAGATACAGTGACTGTGCGTTTGTAGGGAAACCTGGCCGCCTCCGCTTCATCTCGGCAAATGGTTTCTCTTCCTGCCCCCGCCCGGTCACCTGCAGGGGGGTACCCCAGCGCTCCATCCTTGGCCCTCTTCCTTTCCTTATTTACAAGCTCCCTCTGGGCAACGTCATCCGCAGACACAGGGTAAAATTCCACGTGTATGCGGATGACACACAAATCTACTTTGCCTCCTCCATTACCAACGCCAGGTCCACCAAGGTTCTCTCAGCCTGTCTGGCAGTCATCAGGGTCTGGATGAGTGCAAATTTTTGGCAGCTGAATGTGGACAAGATGGAAGCTATATTCCTTGGCTCCCATCAATGTCTGCACTCCTGCGGATTTAAACTCCTCAACCTCCCTGGGCTCTCCCTCACGCTCACTAAAGCAGTGCGCAATCTAGGCACCCGGTTCAACCCCAGCTGTCCTTCCTCCCCCACATCCGGTTCCTGACTAGTACTGCCTTTTTCCATCTCTGCTATATTGCTCGCCTTTGACAGTATCTTACCCCAAATGCAACCGAAAAACTCATGCATGCGTTTGTCACCTCCCGCCTGGATTACTCAAAGCGCACTCCTCGCTGGTCTCCCCAGGTCCACTATTCAAAAGATCCAGCTCATTCAGGACTCTGCTGCCTGAATTCTTACCCGGACCAAACTCCGTACCCACATCTCAGCAGTTCTGACCAGGCTCCACTGGTTCCCCATCACCGAATGGATCGACTTCCAGATCCTCACACTCGTGTTCAAATCCCTTCACTCTCTGGCACCTCCCTACCTTTCCGACTTCCTCACTCCCCATTCCACCACCCTGGGCCTCCGCTCGACTGGCACTAGCCTCCTGTTCATCCTTTGTACCCTCTACCCCACCATCAAAGGTCGCACTTTCAGCCACTACGCCCCGAAACTCTGGAAAACTCTCAATCCCTCATGCCTTACCCCTCTCTCCCCTCCCCTCTAGACTGTGGCTACGACCACCTCCTACCCCCACCCACCCGACTCGGAGTCCGGCTCCACCACTATTAAGTGCTCTGAGATGCTACCCTGTGCTATATGTACAAGTTGATGATGCACACAGCAATATCCAATATCCCACAAAAGCCATGAAGTGAATGATTTATTTGGGTGATTGTTCACCAGGAGACAACCCATTTGTGGAACATTGCTGTGCTACAAATGGGTTGCCATCTTTGCCTACAAATTATTTAGTCATTCCACTTCACAGTGTGAAATGCTTTGAGACATCCTCCTGACATGAAAGATGTACACCAAATGCAAGGTTTACTATAATTATCATTATGTTACCCGTTGCAGCATTGCTTGCAGCCAAAGGATCCATTACGGAATGTAGACTGACACACAGACATTTTGTTCAGACATTATCCTCAGCAGGGAGGACTTCTGTGGGAGGATTCCTTTTGGGAGGACTCAGTGGGAGGACTCCTTTAATATATTTTCTCTCAGAGTCTCCCTCAGTCTCTCTCTCAGTCTCTGTCTGTCTCGCTCAGTCTCACTCTCTGTCAGTCTCCCTGCCTCTCTGTGTCTCTCTCTCTCAGTCTTTCTTAGTCTTACTCTCTCTTGTCACCTACTCTCAGTCTCTCTCCAGTCTCCATCTCTCTCTTAGTCTCTCTCTCTCACTATCTCAATCTCTCTCAGTCTCTCTCTCTCAGTCTGTCTCCTTCTCAGACTTTCTCTGTCTCTCCCACAAAACACACAGTCACTACACTTTATAATATATTCTCTCTCCCAGTCTCTCTCTCTTGCTCGCTCAGTCTCTCTCTATCTCTGGCTCTCTCAGTATCTCTCTCTGGGAGGACTCTAGCTCCATGACAACCATGAAAAAGTGCCATACATTTGTTGCAGATTATAGATGTATCTCTCTGAATGGTGTGTGCTTTCTTCTGTCGCGATGTAGTTGTAGAATACGATGCGTACCTCATATTTTGAGCCTTAATTAAAGCATTTTTTAATGTAGCTCATCAACGATAGGAGATCCTCCCAAAAAATATGCCCATGACACTGCCAGTTGCAAAACCTTTCCGATGAGGTATAAATCATATCTCTACGTCAAAACGGTTATTGTGTAATTGTCAGATACACTGACGCATAAACATTTGTCATTTTATTAGTATAGATAGAAGATTGTTGTTTAGATCACTCCGTAGAAGTAGTATCTAAGTCAGTGGTGGCCAACCAGAAAGTGGCGTGCGGGGCTGCCAAGATGTGGCCCCTGAACATTCACACGAGACGAGGTAAGTCCGTGTTCTGTTGTTAAGTGTTATTTATTGGTTAAATATTTCTTGATTTATGAAATAAGTCAATGTGATTCCCAGGAGCCAAAATAGACTAACTTTGTATGAGAAGCGTAGACATAAACAGATGACAAGCAACTGGTAGGAGCACACCCTGGCAAGTCAGCAAAAGGTAAACCCCCAAGAGCACCCGACTAAACATAACCAGCAGGCGCCTGATAAAGCAACACTTCATAAGCCAACACATCCATCGAGTGCTGAGACAAACCACAACCCATTATGGGTTTTGATAAAACATCCACACTCAAGGAGGTGAGAGGGGGCAAGTTTGCTTACCAAAAACTGTGGGAAATCCCCTACCATACAACCAAGTAATGGATCAAAACTACCTTCATAATAATATACATCACAAAACTGATATTCAATTTCCTGATACTCTCACTCGTTTTCAAATCCCTGCATGCCCTTGCACCTCACTACTTATCCGACCTGCTTACCCCCCACTCCATCACCTGCCTCCTTTGCTTGGCTGGCTCCAGCCTCCTGTTTGCCCTACTGCCCTCCGTTCCACCATCAGCCAATATGCCTCAAAACTCTGGAACTCTCTTTCTCAATCCCTCTGAGTATGGGAGGCCATATTTCAGATACCCCAAAGCAGCAGAACAAGTTACATTACATGGTTAGAGCACTCACCTCTCCCGCACTAGGCTCAGCGATCTTATCACCTCCATCCTTGCCCAACTCCACTGGCTTCCCATCACACAGAGGATACAGTTCAAGATCCTTCAAAGCACTCCACAGTCTTGCTCCCCCATACCCCTCCAACCTCCTAACCCCCTACCACCCTGTTCGCTCCCTCCACTCAGTAGGCTCCGGCCTGCTTCACGTCCCCCGCCTTGCTTGCCCCAGTATCGGCGGGTGGGCCTTCCCCACTCTGCACCCACCCTCTGGAATTCCATCCCGCAGTCCCTCCATCTCGCCCCCTCCCTCACCACCTACAAGACCCACCTCAAGACCCTCCTCTTCGACCGTGCTTTCGATATCCCTGCTTCCCCCCCTGCCCTCCCCCACCCCAACCCCCAGCTCGGGTCCGTAACTCTGTCCAGCTTAGGACATCCTCCCGACGTGAAAGGTGCTATACAAATGTAATTTTGTTGTTGTTGTTGTATCTTCCAATATCCTTCTCCTTGTCACCCACTGCAACAACTTCAATGTCCTCATTGTCAGCTATAAACCACTCACACCCTAGTTCTTCTCTATCTCTCTTATCTTCTCCTACCCCACTGTTTGACCCACCTCCTCTGCTTGGCTATCTTGGGTTAGACTTGGAGTCCCCTGCCTCCTGCATGCCATGATTAGTGAACGAGCCTTCAGAAACTATTCCCCTAATCTATACAACTCCCTCTCTCTACCCCTCTGTTTCACCTCTGTCTTTAGATCTTAAAAAAAATCTCTTCGATTATACTGTTATCGCCCACTCCATCCTTCCGCTCAGCCTTGCTTGGCATCCAATCCCATCTTTGTGAAGCACTTCAACAGCAACAACAAAAAATTACATTAGTATAGCGCCTTTTACATCGGGAGAACATCCCAAGGTGCTGGACAGGGATCTGGATTTGAGTCGGTGCTTAGGATCAGGAGGGATAGAGGATAGGGAAGGTGGAGGTACGAGGGTGACCGAAGGCATGGTCGAAGAGGAGGGTCTTGAGATGGGCCTTGAAAGAGGCAAGGGAGGGAGCGAGGTGAAGGACTGTGTGTTGTTCCAAAGGGTGGGAGCAGAGAGGCTGAAGACCTGACCGCTGATGGTGGGGCGGTCAGGCGGGCGACATGTAACAGGCTGGAGCTTGCTGAACGGAGGGAGCAGACAGGCACTCAAAGCCATTAGTCTACGTGGAAGGCACTATAATAATAATAATAATAATCCTTGCATTTGATATAGCGCTTTTCACGTCGGGAGGACGTCCCAAAGCGCTTCACAGAACACACTGTAAAGTGACTTGACTGTATATTTGTGGGCGAACGCGGCAGCCAATTGCGCACAGCAATGTCCCACAAACAGTCGTAGATTGAAAATGACCAATTTACTTATTGTTTCTGGTTTTTGGAGGGATTATTATTA